TATTAATTTTGACTCATTTTATATTATATAATTTAAAACGCCCAGAACATGACGGCGGTGCACATTGGACTCACTGTCAAGCAAATCATCCAATTCTTTCTTGTCGTTTTGTTTATTTTCTGCCATTTTCACTGCGAGGATTACTGCTTCTCACTGCAATTACTTCGTTGTTTTTTATTATAGGCTATTTTTTGCGTTTCGAAGCTCGAGCTTATCTTTTATTTTTAATTAACAATAAAAAATTTATGCAAAGATGGAATATGTGTGCGTAATAACCGCACAAAATTGCAATTTACGTCAAGTCGGCTGCTGCTCATCTGGGCAACCGATGTTGCCATTTTGCACAAAGTGTTCAAAAGTTTAGATGTAAAAGAAAAAACTATTTGATCCTGTAACTAACATCATTTTTTACATAATTCTATCATAATTCCTTTAAAAATTAAAATATTAAAAATTTTAGATAAAGCAGTGAACACTTAGCTCAAAAAGCTAGATTTCTGGCAACTTATTAAATGAAACAGGGTGGTGCGTGTGCAAAGTTAAGAAACGGAAGTTCAGTTCAGTTCTGTGTTCTCTTCCTCTTCCGCCTTCGTTTGACACTTCGTTAAGGCGGTAAATTAATTCATTTGAGCTTATGCAGTGTTTTTAATAAAAAAGGAAAAAATTGCAAAATTAAGTGATTATTTGCTTATAAGAAAAGTTTAATATAAATACTGATTTGTTAGAGCCTATGTGCAATGTGGTAATTAAATTAAAAGTGCAATAGTTTTGGGAAAACGCGCGTGGTACTACATCGCAGGCAAGGGATGTGCAATAGAGATTAAGCTACCGGCGTTCCTTGCATTTGCGAAATTTTTTATACACATACATATGTATGTACATACATATCGTCGCTACCATATCAAACTATCGAATGTGTGAAAATGCTTTTTCAATTACCATACCGTGCGCATGCATTTAGAGTCACTCCAGTAGAGTGATACGCAAATGGGAAAATTCTCAATCGGCTTTAACAAAGTGTCGAATCCCACACCAATTCCTGATGACAACAACATTTTTTACAACAGTTTCTTTGTGCTCTCCTGAAAAGTACCCATTTTCACATTAGATAATTTGACTTGGTAGCGACGATATGTAAATGCATATCGACACCTTAATTCACAAAGGCCCTAACCAGCAATTTTGTTTTTATTTTACAGGAGAAGCAAAAAATATTCAGCATTATCATGAGTTTAATTTTCTCCGAACCGGCTCACTTTTCACTCTTGGTTTCCATGGTTTTACTATGGGCGGTTGACAAACTATGGGCGGGTGAACTTTTTTTCAGGCGCAACTCAGGATAAGGCAGATTATAAAAATCGAATCATACATACTGATAGGGCATTTCAAAAAGTGGCATAACTCCGTTATTTTTGGTTCTAAAACTTTCAAATTTTTTAATTTTTTTTGAAGGTGTATTTTAATATGTTCTACAAAAATCTGTGAAAAACGCAGTTTCGAAAAAAGTGTTGGTAGGGCCTTTGTGAATTAAGGTAGCGATATACACGTATGTATGAAGAAAAAAAATGATGTTTCAAATTCTGTCATAAAAGCTCGCAATAATGGTGCGAGTATATTGTGATATGCATTTTCCTAAGTATTAGTTTATAGAAATGAAATATGTGCTATTTTACTACATCCGCTGCCGTTTAAGAATAAGAAGTGTAGTGAATTGTGCATCTGTATATCATTATATAAATAGGCAATCATGTTTCCTTTACACCCCTTTTACGGCTAAACTATACTTCTAAGGTATAAACAGTTATATATCATTAGAAAGGTATTTTGATGCTGATGTGCAGGCAATTTTTAAAATTTCAAATCAGTTTAAAATAGAGCGAAAAAATCAATTCAAAAGTCACACCAATACCAATGCACACATGTACATGGTTGGGGCGGAAATGCCCCCTAAATGTATGCTTTAATATTGATAGCGAATTAAAGAAACGTGCTAAGCAGCAGTTCAGGAATAAAATGTATGTATGTATGTACATGAATAGATTAGACTCAAACAAGGAAGAAGGTAAAGTTGAGTATGGAGAAGAAGAAAGTGATAAATACAGAAATTAAAATAAAAGTAAAGAAACCTAAATATAAAGACAAAGAGGAAGGAAAATTTAAATACCTAACCTAATAACAATGGTGGGGGTGAATATGTAAATGAAGAAAAGAATGGACATATTTAGATCAGGAAAAAGAAGATGAAGATGAAGATGAAGATGAAGATGAAGACGAAGATGAAGATGAAACACACCACAACTTAACCCCCACACCGTAATTCACCACACTTCAACTCTCTCACCACACCTTAACTCACCACACCTCAACTCACCACACCTTAACTCCACACACCTAAATTCACCACACCTTAATTCACCACACCTCAACTCA